GGGGGCCGGGGCCTGGCCGGCGGAGAGAGCCCTGCGGGAGGCGGGGGGAATGGGCCGGATGAGCCGTCAGGGGCTGCGAGCCCCGATAGGCTCCGAGATTGGGAAGCGAGCCTCGTCGTACCCTCAGTTCCGCTGCGGAGTCGCAAGCTGACGCTTTGCAGCTCTAGTTAAAAATAAAATTCATTTTTGCTTCTCTAGTGACAATGCCACGCATCTGTTCCTTCCCTTCAGGCCGCAGGGAGGTTTGTATTGCTTAGCTCGGAGGACGCTTCTCAAGCTTTTTTTTAATTAAATGCTTTCTAGCTATGGAAAGGCCAATGCTTTAACTGAATGTAATCTTACTGATTAAGGCTACTCTAAGGCAAAGTTGTGCGTTATAACATGCGGGAAAAATAAATACTCGGAAATTATTTTAGTTCTTTACTAACTGATCTGGAGTGTGTTTAGGTAGCTTTTCCTCTGAAACCATGTAGTAGTTTGTGGGTAATTTTTTTTTATTATACCACGAGCTTGGGATGATTACAGACTATGCAGCCTGCTTCTTTGTAGCAATGTGGAAAGTGAAGGTCTTTTTTATTTTCTAGGAAATGCTGGAAGCACTCAAGGCTCTCTCGACCTTTTTTGTCGAAAACAGTTTGCGCACCCGAAGAAACTTGCGCGGAGACATTGAACGGCGAAGCTTAGCCATAAATGAAGAATTTGTCCACATATTCAAGCAAGTTAAAGAGGTAACATTTTTACAGTGTGACTCGCTGTCTTGCAAGAGTGCTATGTAAGTTAAATTTGTAATAAAAGAAGAATAAAGAATGAGAGATTTTGACTTTCTGGGACAAATATATTTTTACAGTAAAACTGTTTCATCATTTGTTTCTTTTGATGAAAATTCTGTGCAGAGAGGGGTGATGTTTCAAACAGATAGAAATCCCAAATGAACGTTGATCTTTAGAGGTGCGCTTTTTCCATTAATTAACAGGGAGCCTAGAGCAGCTGTGTTCTGTGTAACTGACATCTCATTTTGGTGGGATAAAGCTGAGCCTAGGCATGGGGTTCCTGATTTAAAACAGTTACTGTTGTTTGAACTTTTTTAGGAGCTTGAGAGTATAAACGAAGATGTGCAAGCCATGAGCAGCTGCTGTGAAGATATGTCCAGTCGTCTGAAGGTAACATCTAAATAGATGTGCTTTGTGTATTTTTCCTTTTGAGGTGCAACTACTTTCTTTTTAAAGGATAAATAATTATTTTGCAGTACTAAGAGTGATGCTGAGATATTTCCATAGTATGCGTATTATGTTACTTTAGGGTAGTAATATGTTTCTTTTTACTTATGTAGAAAATGTACTGAGGAAGTAATTTTAACTTCTTCCAAATTGCAGTTCACAGTGCTACAATATACTTATTTTGATAACAGCAATGTGGTGTCCATTTGTGTGTACATGGAGAGAAAAAATTTTGAGATTGGATGTGTGTGAGACTATAGTGGGTTAGTTATGTTTGTGCATTATAATCTAAAATTGACAGGCCTTTCACATTGACCACATCTGTTATGTGTTTATGTAAATACCTGAGGTATATTCATAAGAAAGTATTTTGTAATCCAAAGAGGGAGACAGATCTAGTGTGTGATCTTCATCCTACTGGTTTTGGTTTATATAATTGTCTTAAAATGCTCATATGCAACAGAACAAATTCTGTTTCATATTAATCCTGAACCCATAATATTCTAGGGATTTTTAAAAAGTTGTGTTTTATAATGCGTTACTAAATCTGGCTTGGGTTTAGTGTACGAGTTCAGTATTCAGTGCAGTGATGAATTAAAAGGTTTATGTGTGCTGAACTGTAGATCTTTTGCCAAGCCAAATCCGTTCTGAATATAGCACATAAATGAAAATCCTTCACTGAAAAATCCTGTGGAAACAGTTGGTTTTTCTCCTCCTAATGTGTGCATGGGGACTTTAGATGTCCCCCTACTTAAGATGAGTAGGTTTCATAGTCATTGTATGTAATTACCATAAGAACACTTGTAGTTTGAGAAACTTGTTCCAAAAAGTGTGAGAGTACAGTGTAGCCCACTGCAGTACTTAATTTTCAATTTTTGGAAGGCAATGGGTAATGCACCTCAGAGGTCTCAGATCCCTTTGAACACTGTTAATGTGGATGTATTCCCTAGTGCGGTTCAGGAACTGTTTGATTAAACTCTCAGATGTGCAAATGAGTCAAGTGTCCATGCAGATTTTTGCTCTTTTCTGTCTTTAGATCATGCAGTGTAACTATCTGTGATTTTTTTTTTTTTAAATGAGTGGAGCTACCCTGCAGAGATTTCTTTTTCTGTTCGAATCTGTAGGTAGTTTTGTTCTGTGCCCCACAGGAGGTTTCTTCTAGAGCCATGTAGAACTTGTAACTTGTCTCAATTCAAGCCATGTTTTCTTTTTCTGTACAAATGTAAAGTAAGTTAATAAGCCCATGAACTAGCACTCAGTTGTCAAATACTCTGGTATTTTGTCTGTAATAGGATGTGAAGACTTGCAAGCACATGCTCCAGCTGAATAAAAACACAAAAATTAACTAAGAGTAGAGCAAATAGAAGATACAGAGAGGAGTATCTGTAGCATATAAGGCAGAAAAATGTGCTAAGAGAGCAGAACAAATACAAGATCTAAAAGGGACTATATATTGATAAGCCAAAAAGCTTTTTACCTTTCTCATTTCTTAAGCTTATAATACCGTGCAATCCAAATAATCAGATACTGTCTGCTCTGATTTCAAGACAGTGACTTGATAAATGCAATGGTTGAAAAGGAGAGGAGGCGGCAGGTGCTGGAATGGAATAAAGCAGGGTTGAAGGATAATGAAAGTTTTGATTGGTATACAGAGAGGAGGAGGAAGAGAAAAATATTTCTTATTTTGGATCTACAAGAAACATAGAATAGCAACTTTCTGTTTTTTCTGGCATGTCTGACTGTTTCTGCCACTTCCCTCATTTTGGTTAGATACAAACTTTTACATTCCATGTATACAATAAAACAGTATCTGGCATGTATTTGAATGCATGTAAATAAAAACTGGTTTTCTCATATATCTAGCTAGGTCCAGAAGAGCTGCTTTTCCTTCCTTTTGGCTGTCTTACTGTTAGCGTTCTTCTGGCAATTAATACTTCTGTCCAGAGAGTACTGGAAAGGAAGCACATTTCTTTTTCTGTCTCTGGTTTATTAAAATCTGCAACTCTGAAGGAAGGGTGAAAAAATAAGTCTGGAATTAGTATATTTCCATGCTCACTACTTCAGGTCTGGTCTTTTGTTGTAATAGTCTTTTTTCATTAGGCTGAAGCATTGAAAATCAATATTAAAAAGATTTAAAAATACAAATACATTAAAAATGAAAATATTATTATTTATATAAGATATAAAAAGCTTAAAGATCTCTTAAATTATTTTGGAGCTGCTGAACGTTCAGTAGATTCTGTTGAGTTTTTATTAAATATGCATGCTAGTCCATAATAACTTCCTTTAGAAAATTCAGCACCTCACCAGGCCTGCTGTCTGTATTCATGGGCCAGCTCAGGCTCCCTCTGATCCCTGAAGCTGTACCTGGGTGGTTGCAGTCCTGCTCTCACCTTTCAAAGCATTGTGTACTTTGACTGCTTTTCCGTTGTAGCTAATGTAGTGTGGCAGATAGGCCGAAATGAATCTGCATGCCTGCGTACTTGCATAAGACCTCTCACGGGTTTCAAGACCGGCGTCTTCATTTTGGCAAGCACCATAAATTAGACCTATTACAATCTTGAAATTATTCACACAGAATATCTTTATAGCTGTTTCCACCTCTTTGCTCGCAATATTATTCCATACTGAATGCATTTTGATTTCAGTTTTTTGTTGTGTTTGGTTTGTAGGTTTTTTTTTAAATTAAAGAATCTTATTTTTCTGCCTAAATGACCACTGTTGGTATCGAGTGGGAAACCAACATTTCTAGATTTCTCTGATCTTCTTGCTGAGTGATGCGTTTCAGAACTCTTTAACTTCAGTTGCAGCAATCCTGTTAGTCATGCAATTGCTGTCTGTAGCAGAATTGTTTCTGCATGGATTCCCTTGCATTGTCATCACTGAACATTTAGGAGTGTGATGGACTACTTAAGTCCATTAGTCTTCAACTCATAGGATCATTTAGGTTGGAAAAGGTCTTAAAGATCATCAAGTCCAACCATTAACTTAACACTGCCAAGTCCACCACTAAACTATGTCCCCAGCTACCACATCTACACATCTTTTAAATGCCTCCAGGGATGGTGACTCCAGCATTTCCCTGGGCAGCCTGCTCCAGTGCTTGATAACCCTTTCAGTGAATAATTTTTTCATAATAACTTTTCTTGGTCCTTACAGCCCTGTAAGCTGCTTGGACTGTAGAGCTAAACTTGCTCAGACCAGCAGAGCTGTATTCTTATTGTCTAAAATACCTGGGTGGTCACTGTTACTGTGCAGTTCAGCATCCACAGGAACTTATTTCATTTTTCATTTTATAACGGAAACAATTTACAGTCAATGGACAAACAAGATAATCAGAACTATTTTTAACATTTCTAATAATGCTCTTGTGTTAAATGTAAATTAAAAGTCAACTGTGAATATAAATATATATTAAGATGAAAATATATATGGCTAGGTATAGTAATTTTTTTTTCATACCGGAAAGCAGGAAGACTTAATGAACGCTTATTTCAAGAAGGCTTTTTTCAGAGTACACTCTTGAAGCTGCTTGTAGTCAAAAAGTTTCAAAAGTATTGCATATTTTGAAGGTTGTGTAATACATTTGATATGTTTGTGTTTTCACATGCTTAATGATGCTAATTGTATTCTAGGCAGCAAAGGAACAAACCCAGGACTTGATAGTAAAAACCACAAAACTGCAGGCAGAAAAGTATGTATACCACCTTATTTATTTCTTGAAGGCATGACAGTACTGATGGAATTTTCTTTTATATCTTATTCTACCACTCTTAGTCTTGAGTAATGACTTTGTGGGGTTTTTTTATTAGTACTTTGTTTTTAACACTGTCTCTGTTTGTAGCTCAATTGGGGTAAAAATATTGAACTCTTAATTTATTACTAGAGGACACAAAATGGTAAGAACATGTGTTAGTGCCTGCTGTCATAAAATTGACCTTTTAATGAAGAGAATCAGTTATAGTGGTCAGCATGCTTTACCTGATGTCAGTTAGTAATGTAAGTTATACTGTTTTGTAACAGATATGGACCTACCCAGTGTCTCATCAGTTTCACAGGTTTCTTCTTGTTAAGGCTTCATATCCAGTGGAAATCACTTTCTTGTTCGTGGACCATATGCAGGAATGGAAAGTTGGCTTATAACCTACTCTGCCATATTTAAAGCTAACTGTGAATTATGTAAGTGCTGTTTAATGAGCCTGACACAGACCACTTTTTCCCTTGTTCTCCAGCCTCTTGTGGAAGAAAAGATTTGTTTTTTCCTCTTTTCAGTATTTTATTCATGGGAAGGGGATAATAGCTTATGACAGATTCAAGTAATTGTTACTGGTTTTATGTTCTAGGGCATCTGGTTTTACAGCTTTAGCCTTTGTCAGTGTAGAAGAATGAATCTCCTTGCTTTATGAGCTTTCTTCTGAAAATTATATACAGTTCACTGGAGATTAGAAATAATTATTTCCAGTGATAAGTTTCTAGTAGAAATTGTGATTTTTTTGATAGCTCTGGGCGCAGTTTCAAAATCAGTAGGTTCATGTTGTGGACTTTAGTAGGAGGTGGATTGTGTCCTGTGAGAGTCTGAATGTAAGGTTGAAGTGCAGTCTGTACATATTTTAAAAGCTGAATGTGGAATAACTGCATAAAATGGTTGATATAAAATGAAGGATTTAGCAAAGTCACAGTTTAAGTAGGAGCAGAAGTCAAGTTTTAGAAAATTTGTTATTTTAAATGAGTATGTGAAGTAGTAGGACAGAGAAATGGTCATCTTTTTTGCAGTCTCAAGAAAAGGAGAGATGCTTTGATTCCTTGTTCTGAAGCAGAATGGAAGATACCAAGGCCAGTCCCAAATGATGTATGTCTAATTGGCTTCAAATTCCATGAAAGGAGATTATACAGACTTATGTCAGTACTTCTACGATGTAGTCCTTACTCGCACAATAATTTCATTTCTGGCAATTCCTTTAAGAGACAGAACATCCCCCTAGTGTGAGGAGGAGAAAAAGTGTAGGGGGTAGCCTGTCCTTCTGAGAGTTTTTGTGACCTGAGTGCACATGTGGGAGAAAGTTCTTTTTTGAAAGGCTTTTTTTTAAGTATAACAATAAGTACCCACTAACAGAAGCCAAACAATACTTGCTATCTTACATTATGATGGTTATGGTAGACTCATAGTACCGTTTATTAATAAAGTTAATAAATCTAAATCTACCAAAAACTTAAACAAAAGCTACAATGAGAAGGCTGTCTTTCCCCATGTGGGACATTTGTGTCGCCTTTTCTCTTGACTCCTTAAATCGCTGTTTGTTCTGATGTACTGCTTTGATTTACATCAGGCACGTGAAGAGGCATCTACTGCCCAGTGTTAGGGGTTTCTTGAAAAGCTGAAATCTTGCCTACAGTCAGACAAAATACAGGTATTAAAGTGCGGACTCATTTGACTCAACAAGTGACATTTCTTAGCCAATAAAGGAGTAAATGGTGAAAATGGGAGTATGTGGCTTCTGTTTTCTGAGGGTTGTCCTGATAGAAATGCAGAGATGAAAGCTGGACCCATTCGAACAGAAGGCAGTTGAAACAATGACTGTGAAGCAAGAGCAGTCAGTCTAGAACAGGGAAGTGACTGCTGAGCGTAATCAATTGTTTAGAGTTCTTTCTGTAAAAACATTTCTTATTATGAAAGACAGAAGTTGACTTCAGATTGAATCAGTCCCAGATTACTATTTCTACTCTGTGGTCCTGCCAGCTGTTCATTTTATGATAGGCTTTTCACAGGAAAGTATGAGTTAGGTAGAAGTTTCTTGAAGTTTAAGATAGTGGGAATTTGTATTCGAATGGCATCAATATAGTAAAATAATTTTCTGTGTGTTTTTTTACTTTAACATCAAAATATTTTTCAAAAAAGAAATTCTGGTTTATGTAACACAGTGTTTGCAAGTTGTTTAAGTTCTTAAATCAGTGCTGAGTAGTGGTATGTTTTTAAACATTACCCTGAAAAATAAAATTAGTTATGTTCTTCCTTTTCACATTAGTTATGTTCTTTTTCAGGTAGGTAGCTACTGAACATTTTGAAATAGCAGAGAGAATACATTCTGTCCTTCTGCTG